TCTTTCTTTCTTTCTTTCTTTCTTTCTTTCTTTCTTTCTTTCTTTCTCTCTCTCTCTCTCTCTCTCTCTCTTTCTTTCTTTTCTTTCTTTCTTCTTGTCCTTGGTTTTCCTTTTTATTCTGTTCTAGTAGCTTTCTTTCTCTTTTTGCATCCTCGTCCACATGTTTACTTATTTTCAAGAGATTGTTATGATTCATTTTTTCTACATAGAATCTTACATTTGGTTTATTGACATTTGTTTCTTGACTATATTAGTAGTTTTCCATGCTTGAATATTGATCTCTTTCTAACTTGTATAATATGAGTTCGCGAGTGTTTGGATAGTTTTTTTTTTTTTTTTTTTTTAATTGAAACCAGGGACTTCAGTGTCTGGTGGTTGTGCTTGCCTTCTCATTAGTTAAGTGTAAGGCAAGAACAGAAATACAATTTTTAATGAGTTCATGAGTTAGGTTTGACTGAGATTTACTGCCTAATGATTGGTTAGAGCATTCTGTAATGAAACTATTTTTAGATTACTTTTTCTTTGAAACTCCTTTTTGAAACTGAAGGTGTGTCAAATTTTCAAATTTTCTGAGGTGCTTGAACTGAAAAGAATCCTGGAGTCTGGGTTGGGGATATGGCATACTTATTTGTGATTGCCTGCTTTATCAAGGATTTCTGTAATTTACATGTAAAATATAACGTTCTAGAAAGCTGCCCAGTTGTATAATTGGAAATTATACAGAAAATCTGTAATATGGATCTAGAATTCTGGTTGCATTTTAACCCCAAAATTGCTCCAAGGTTCTTAGCATCATCAGTTCCTGAATCTTTAGTGTCTGTACACTCAGTTCTAATTGATTAATATCTTAGTTTTCTGCCTTTAGCATTTGGACTGCAGTACCTAATATGTCTGCTTTTCACTTGGAAATTTGAGTTGTGATTGTAGGTCTTTCATGCTTACCACCTTTGTGGATTTATGTGACAGATTTTTGTTGGTTTTTGAGGCAGGGTTTCACTGTTCCTGGAACTCACTCTGTCCAGGTTATCCTCAGACTCAGAGATCTGCCTGCCTCTGCCTTGCTAGAGTGCTGGGATTAAAGGTGTGTGCCATCACTCAACTCAGTAAGATTTTTTTTTAATGTTATTTTAGTGTCATTTGTGAAAGGGTAGAAATCAGTGTATGTTTTTGGTCCTTTTTATCTAGAAGGCAGCTGTTTTACCTATGCAACTGCACATACTTTTTCTGCTTTTTTTTTTTTCTAATGACAGTAGGCTTTCTTAGTCCTATTTCAGTTATCATCTATCACTTATCACAATCATGTTATGTAGAAATTTATATACACACATATACACACACATATAAAGGTATACGTATATATATGTAGAAATATATATAATAATATGACATTAACCTTCTTATTAAGGTTTTTTATTTGCTTGGTTTTGGTTTTTGGTTTTTCTTTTTTCCTTCCTTCCTTCCTTCTTCCTTCCTCCCTCCCTCCCTCCCTTCCTTCTTCCTCCCTCCCTCCCTTCTTCCTCCCTCCCTCCTTCCTTCCTTCCTTCCTTCCTTCCTTCCTTCCTTCCTTCCTTCCTTCCTTCCTTCCCTATCTGAATCAGGGTTTCTCTGTGTAGCCTTGGCTGTCCTTGAACTCACTCTGTAGACCATGCTGGCCTCAAACTCCCTGGATCCACCTATCTCTGCCTTTCAAATACTGGATCAGTGGTGTGTGCTACCACCTCCTGGCTCTTAAGTGGTTTATTAGAAGCGAAAATAGTTTCGCTATTTTGTCTATGAATATATTGTATATTTATCATCCCCTCCCCTTTGCTTTTGAATGTTTTTGTTTTGTGTAGACAGGGTCTTGTTTAACTCAGGCTGGCTTTGAAGTCATTGTGTAGCTGAAGTAACCTTTTAATATAAAATTTCTCTCTCAAGACATGTAGCCAAGGCCAGTCTTGATCATTATCATCCTATTTCCACCCCCAAGTACAAGGTTTATAGTGTGTGTCACAAGTGGATGGATTTTTTTAAAAATGTTGAAAGATAGAGATATCAGTTGACCAAATATGTTGTCCGCTCCATTGCAATACACACTGTTGTGTCTCCTGTTACCAAGGTGTATACCAGGGCAGAGGCTAAGTAGAGTAGAAGAGAAAGCATAGGTATGTGATTACATCAAGAAATTGGGTTAATTTATTAGTTTGTTAATCTAAAAATAAATGGAAATTCAAGAATTCTTAAGCCACTGTTTATTTCTCAATTACAATATAATGTTCTGATTTTTTTTTTTTTTTTTTTTTGGTATTCACTTTAAGTGCCTGGTTACTCTTCAACAAAGGTTATTTAGAAATTAAAAAATAAAAAATCCTGAAACTTTGGTTTAGATTAAATGTCACTCTGACCATAGAGTTTTTTTTTTCCTCTTTTATAGAGTCTGAGGTGTTTTTTGTTTTTTTGTTTTTTTGTTTTTTTGTTTTTTTTTTTTTAAGACTCAGCAGCTTTCCTTAACATCTCTACTTGAATGAGCTATAATGTTCACTTAAGAATAAAAAAGAGAAGAGATGGGGCTGAGAGGATTCAGAGATTGAGAGCACTGGCTCATAACCATCTTAATGAGATGTGGTGCCCTCTTTTAGCATGCAGGCAGAATACTGCCTAAAAAGTAAATAAAAAAAAAATCTTAAAAAAAAGAATAAAAAAGATGGAAATACCTTAAAGACTATTTTTTTTTACAGTCTGTATGTATGAGTGTAAATGAATGCACAAGTTGTTGGTGAGCATGAACCTGTGGAGGTCAGAAGGCTTCTCTGGAACTGGAGGGTACCGGTGCTAGTGGTCTGTGAGTGAGTGCTGCGAACTGTTTTATTGCTGACAAGAACAGTAAGCTTTGTTAATTGCTGAGTCATCTCTTTAGGCCCCTAAATATCTAGATTTAACTTTAGATTAAATATCTAAATATCTAGATTTAACCCATTTTCATCCAGTCCTTTTATTGGTGATTTTTAAGAACTCGAGAAGCCAGGCGTAGTAGCAGTGGTGCGCTCCTTTAATCTCAGCACTAGGGAGAGAAGGCAAATATCAGACCAGCTGGGGCTACACCATGAGATCCTGTCTTTGCAGCCTCCCACCTGCACCCAGTAGGGAATTTTCACCTTAAGCAGATGACATATTCAAAACTTAAACTTCATGGAAAATGGAGGTAATTGAGACTAAGTGCTTAAGTGTTTCCTGAAAAAAACTCTCATTCATTTAACATGGTCCAGTAGTATCCAGAAAACTTTTGACTGTTGACTTTGGAGTCTTCACTGTTGAAGTTCTTTGGTTAAATAGAGCCTACCACCCAGCATACTATCATACCATTGTTCATGGTGGAGAGAGGAAGGTGTTTACAGATGCTGTCTTGGTTTCTTTATTTAAAAATAATAAATTCTTGGTTATTAGAACTTTAATAGCATCACTATAAAGGCATCTATCACTATAAAGGCATTGGGTAGCTTTCAGGATAAATGTAAAGTGTTCTGGATTGATTCTCCCTAATTATGATCTAAAAATTGGACATTTCACTAATCTTTAGTTCTATGCTAATAGAGTAGAATAAGTGAAATCCTGTTTTGTGTTCTCTCTCATGTAAAGTAGCCAAAATGGATCAAGGGGTAATGTAAAGTTAGTGAGATTAGAAACTGAAGGAAAAGGCAGGACATACTGTGAGGTTTGGGCTGAAAGATGAAAGAGCTGGTAGGCTTTTAAAAAGGATGGTTTCCTGGATACATAATTCATACTTAGAAAATTCAACTTTTCTATTTCTCATGTATAGGTTTAAGAAAGTCTACCAAGAAGCGCAGTGAGTCCCCACCTGCTGAGCTCCCCAGTTTGAGGAGGAGCACACGCCAAAAGACCACGGGCTCCTGTGCTAGTACCAGGTAATTAATTTAGTATTTTTGAGCCTATGGTTTTTATTTACCTTCTTTTGCTCTGGTATTTCAAGTTTGATCTTTCTGTACTTCTTAAAATTACCAAATAATATTTCCTTCTCCTCCTTGTGCTGTCCCTGCCTTTTTCCTCCTTACTCTTCCTTTCCTCCATTTTCTTCCCTTCCCTCTTCTCCCTTCCCTTCTCCCATCCTCACCTATTCCTTCTGCTCCTTTCCCCTCCCCACCTTTCCAGCAGTCTTGATTTGTGTCCTAGGTAGCTACTACTTAATCTTTTTTCTTTTAATTTTATTTTTTTGTATTAATTATAGTTTCTTCACTTTGTATCCCAGCTGTAGCCCCCTCCCTTATTCCCTCCCAATCCCAGTCTTCCTCCCTCATCTCCCATGCCCTTCCCCAAGCCCACTGATAGGGGAGATTCTCCTCCCCTTCCATGTGACCCTCTATTTAATCTTTGCTTGCCTCAGTCTCTCTAGTAATAGGATTACAGGGATACGCGCTACACCCAGCCCAGTTAATGAGCAATTTACATATTATGTAAAATTTATGGAATAACATGACATAATTTTATATAAAATTTCTTTTTTAAAATGTTACCTTTTTTTTCTCTCTAGACAGGGTTTCTTTGCCTTGGCCCTCCTGGAACTCACTCTGTAGGACCATGTCTGTATTTTTTTCCTCTTTTGCTAAGACACTTTACAGTTAATGACCAATATTTAGACATTAGGCTAGCTGGACCTAGTGGCACCTCCTGCCACTCTGGAGGCAGAGGTAGGCAGATTTCTACTATAGTGAGTACCAGAATCCCTGGAACAGGAGTTAGTTTTCAGGTGTGGTGACACATGCCTTAATCCCAGCATAGGCAGCCTGATCTAGGCTAGCCTAGTCTACAAAGAGAGTTCCAGGACAGCTGGGGCTTGATAACACAGACAAACCCTGTTGAAAAACCAAGCCAAACAAACAAAAAAACTTAATTTTGATGCTTATGTGGGTGTTGGGGACTGAACTTCAATGCTCTGGAAGGTTAAGAAGTGTGTGTGCATGTGTAAAGAGTTATTTATTTTATGTATATGGGGGCTCTGACTGCATGTACCCTTGTATGCCAGAAGCGGCCATCAGATTCCAGTATAGATGGTTGTGACCACCATGTGGTTGCTGGAAATTGTATTCAGAATCTCTGGAAGAGCAAACAGTGCTCTGAACCATCTCTTCAGCCCTAAGAAGTGTTCTTAAATACTGAGCCACCTCTCTTGATGTGTTCTGCCTACCCCCCAAAGCTTATTTTCTTTTTAGCTATTCTTTCTGTCTGTCTATTATTACCTCCCTGCCTGCCTACCTAGTCTCCCTCTATATATATAACCCCAGAGTGGCCTCAAACAGATCTGTCTGTCTTTGTCTCCTGAGAACTGGGGATTAAAGGTATGTGTGTGCCACTGCACCAGGATAGACTGAATTCTTCATAGCCTAAGAAGGAACTGCTGTGCCTTAGCCTCATGCCCCCCATATTTTCTTCATATTGCTTTAACAATATTTAGAATTAGTTTAACTGAGTGCATTTCAGGTTTCTTAGGAATAACTTTGAGGATTCCTAAGAAAATAATTGTGAAATCTACAGAACTTTAGTCCCATTTTTGGCCAAGTTTTTAATGTTTTTTTAAAAAAAGATTTAAAAGAAATCTAAAATTGTGTGTACATTTACTGATACGTGAAAATGCCAATAGGTCCAAAGTTGACTGACACCCCATAGGCAATTGTGAGCTCTTCCACATAGATTCTGGGAGCTTGTAATTGGTTGTTGATATCTAGAAGAGAGATTGATGGACACCCTGAACTGTGGTGCCAACTCTCCAGGATCCAGTTATAGTCTGAATTTGCCATATGTGAAGTTAGATATTTTAGTATTTATAATTTTTTTTATTCTGCCCTTTTAGTACACATGGACACTTGATCATTGGGGTATACAGTCACCTAACATACTTGCTTGAAACAGTCTTTGTCCACAACCTTTTATTAATTTTTAGGGCTTTTTCTCATATTTAATGCCTTGGTGATCTAATAAGCATGTGCGCTTCTTTCAGAGTAACAATTTTTGAGGGTAGCAGCTCATACATACACAGTTTTTAGCCTAGAATACTGTGAAAATTAAATGTTGGATGAATTTGAATCTCATTTACAGCTTGTTTAGCTAGGTTTTGAATGAACTATTTACTTATGAAGGAAAGATTAATTAAACCCATTCTTGTTAAGAGAGTTTTCACTAATAAGTAAAATCTTCAAATATTCACGTAATTGAGAGCGTCATTTTCATGCTCATTGAGCCCATTCTCTTTGCATTACTAGACACTGTGATGGTCCAAGACACTTGAGCCTTAAGTTTGATCATTTCCTAAGGTAAATCAGGGAACTGTTTGTAATGTTGGTTATCTTTTGCTCAGTTTACCTACTGATTATTAAAATAGAAGTAGATCATTATCAATAGAGTGTATTTTATAAAAACTTGTGATTACTTTATTTTCTACAGTGTATTCTGTACGTCTGTCCTTAAAACAGGTCTTCCCAGGTTATCTTGTTGTCCATAAATATTAACTGTTTTTTGTGGTGTTAGGATGTTTGATTCTTAGATGATTTAGGTAGTCTGACAAAGTCTTTTTGATCTTCCTATTGTTGCTGTCACTCTGTGATCCTTTGTCCATTGTCTATGTTTGGAAGTGAGGCTATATTTTAAATGTTTAGTCCCCCCCCCCTCTTCAGGAGGATCCACTTTTTCATTAAGCTGAAAGTGTTTAAAAATCATGTCTGTCTGTAAAAGATGACAACAGCTCCCAGTAAAACAGAAGCTTATATTGTGTGAGCTATAACTTGGAAGAATTTCAGATACACAAAGTCTAAGTGATTTTCTATAACAATTTTTATTTAAAAGGGAGAAGAAACTGGCTTTGTCCTTTGTGAATTTGAGCTTTGTGTTGTCTATACATCGCTTCTGGTGCTTTGGTAATGCTGACTATAATGACATTTTTCTGTTGCAGTCGGCGAGGCTCTGGCCTGGGCAAGAGAGGAGCAGCTGAGGCCCGGCGGCAAGAGAAAATGGCAGAACCCGAAAGCAACCAGGAGACAGTAAATTCCTCAGCTGCCCGGACAGATGAGGCTCCCCAAGGAGCTGCAGGTAGACTGGCACCTCTTAGCCATAAAACATATCTTTTTTTTTTTTTTTCCTCACAAATTTATTTTTGGATGAATTTCCTTTGTTCTACATCCCAATTAGAATAAAAAGGAGGGGATAGATATACCATAGATGTTATTATGAAATAACCTTTTTTTTTCTATTTTGTTTTATATCATAGATTGGATATCATTGATTAGTGGATTCATTTGTAAAGATCTAAATTCTCATCCAGTCCATACTTGTACTAATTACATTCAGAGGGCTTTATACAAATGTGTAAATTTTCTATTTAAGGTTTTAGTGTATTGACCAGTATGTGAGTTGACTAGTGATTGTTTTAATGAAGTTAAAATCATAATAAAAATGTACGGATGTACTTTAAATTGCATGTAGATCTTAGCATTTTGTAAGCCCTAAAATGTATTTTGTTTTGAATCTACTTTAATAATAGTATTTTGATTTTTTTTTTTTTGTTATGGGCTTATCATATATATATATATATATATATATATATATATATATATATTTGGATGGCACAAAAGGATGCATTTTTCTTCTTTTAGCTTTAAGTATGTTACTATTATCAAAAAAATATGGTAAGTGAATTTTAAAATATAGTGTGAATTTGCTCTTTCTAAACAGAAAAAATACTGTAATTCATTATTGTTAATGTATATATATTTCTACAATCATGCTACATCAAGCTTATTACACAAGCATATACTTTTGAACAAAGCTCTTTCATGTAGTGTGATTCAATATTAGGATATACAGTAGTTTTCTTTAATGCCTGTGGCTGGTCATAAATCAGTTTGCTGTAAAGGCCTGGTTACCCATGGTTACCATACGTTGCATAGCTTTGTTTTTTAAGTCATTTCTGTTTCCCAATTTTTATTAAAAAAAAAAAAAAAATTAGATAGTGGATTTGTAGTAGCCTATTGGGAATGAAAAATACTAAATTGCTTTTTTTTTTAATAGTTTTTCTTTATGGTTCATTGGTAAACATTTGGAAGAATACAAGCTATTTCATTTGCAGGCTCTTTCAGGATGTTGATAATGCAGTCTCTTGTTCCCAGTATTGAACATTATTTCCCTACCCTTCCATTATTTCAAGTTGGAATATGAAAGTATGAGGCCGAATCTCAAATGAGTGACAGAAGTGAAATTTCTGAATGTATTGTTGGTTGACTTTTAACAGTAATTATAACAGCAACACCTGTTCACTCTGCAGATATGACTTTAGACATTTCCCACATTTTCTCATTGAATATTCAGAACAACCTGCTGAGGTGTGACTTCTGTTATTGCTATTTTATAAATGAGGGAAAACTGAGGCATACATTGGTTAAGCTTTCCCAGAGATTCAAGCTAAAATGTATGACGCTTCATCCAGGTCTTAGAAACCAAGTACGCAGTACAGCAGTTTCCTCTCCCTAGGTGTTATAAGACTTTAATTCATATGGCTACATTCTGAAGTTAGAAAGGAGAATGGGGGAGGGGAATCTAATCCCTTGATTCATTGATTTTATATAGGATAAATGCTTCAAGGGAATGTAGTGTGTCGTACTGTTATTCACGTTTGAAATCAGTGTGGTCGGCCTTTTTTTTTTTTTTTTTTTTTTTTTTTTTTTTGGATAAAAGATACTTGTGGGGTGTTGACTGTTGGAAAAGATACACATGGGTTGAAGTGCACTAGGGTTAGTAAGATACAGTTTTATAAAGGGGTGGGTCCTTTATGGATAATAGAAATTCCTCAGTTGGCTCACTGTAAACTACTTCTGGGAAAATGTGCTTTATTTTCTCTGTGTGTAAATCTAATTTAGCATAGAGGACAGGTTCGTGGTCCTTTGAACTACTTTTTTTATGTCTGTCTCTTGAATGTCTGATTCTATAGTTGGAAGACTTTTTTTAGAATAGTGAAATAGCAAGGAAAAATAGGCGTGTTCTGGTGTTTACTTTTTATATTAAGACTTCATAACTTCAAAAAATGATCCAGGGTTATATCCTAGAAAGCAACTAGGTTTGCCTTGAACTCACAGAGATCTGCCTGCCTGTGCCTTCTGAGAGCTGGGATTAAAGGTGTACTCCACCACTGCCAGGCTAGTTTTATGTTATTAAGACAGGCTCTCTGCTGATGTGTAGTGGCTGTTTTCCTCTATTCTGTTATTGATGTCTTAAGCAGGAAAACCCTCCTTCACCAAATAGTGGGGTTGGGTGTTGTTTATTGTGGCGCTTTTGGTCTTATTTTGTTTTCAAATTAAAAGTATATAAAATAAAGTATATAAAATAAAGAAGATAGAGTTTTATAAACTATGAAAGACCAGGTTCTCACTATATAGCCCTGTCTGGCCTAGTCTTCAGCGTGTAGACCAGTCAGCTTTTCAGCTCACAAAGCTTGCCTTAGTGTTAAGACTAGAGGTGGAAGCTCTAATACCCAGTACCCATTTGTGCTCCACCCCTTTAAAAATTTTAAGACAGAGTTTCTCTGTGTAGCCCTTGCTGTCCTGGAACTTCCTCTGTAGACCAGTCAGGCCTCGAAATCACAGAGATCTACCTGTTTTTGCCTCCTGAGTGCTGGGATTAAAGGCGTGTACCACTTTCATCTGTATTGGATCTAGTTTTTAATGCTTTTATCTCCCTGATTATATTTGTTTATACTACAAATTATGTTATGTAAAGAAAAGCTGTGCTTTTTTTGTCTTACTACAAGGTTTCATGATATACAAATCTTCCTATTGCCTTCTTTACTTACACATATCCTTAGCACCTTCTGGCAAGTAAAAATCCTTTTGTAAGCCTTCTAATGTTTTATCTTTCTTTTGTAAGAGGCCAAAGTGCTTATAAAAATATAAACTTGGCATTCTAAAATAGAGTATTTCATTTAAAAATTTTAAGTATTACTGATGAAAAATCTGGGTTTTGATTGTCTCTGTTGACGGTCGTTTTTATATTTGACTTGTAGAGACAGAAATGGTGTATGCTATGAATACAGTTTTTGGGCTTAACTAATGTTTTTTTGAGTTGACAGCTGTTAGTTGGTTATATTTTATAAAACAGCTTTCTCTCTATTCTTCAGTATAAAGGATCTCTGTAAGAACCCATGTCAATAATTCAGCATATAAGCATCTTAATGCTGCCTCTTTAGTATTTTTGTATAGTGCAGTTTTAGTCTTTCATCATCTTTATTATTACTGGGATTGTAACAGGAAAGAAGCAGCTGATAGTATACATACATACAGAGCATACAGCTCTGTTCTCATCACTTGCATCAATAACTGATGGACTGGATTCAGCCTTTGGCCACTGTTAACTCTTCTGGGGGGGATTTAATAAAGGGTTTATTGCTGCTTACTACTCTCAGGTCATATTCTGTCAGAGGGAAGTTGGAGCAGAAATTCAAGGCAGAAAGCTAACTTTTGTTTTAACCCATATCTAAGAATTAAAAATAGAATTTGAAGTTACAGAAAATGTGTATTTTGAAAAATGTAGAATTAGTGGCTGTCACTTTGCCATCTTTTACTTTTAAACAGGATCCTGTTGGGTGTGAGCGTGTGTGTGTGTGTGTGTGTGTGTGCGCGCGCGCATGTTCATGTCTGTGTCTGTTAAGTGTCTGTGTCTGTGTATGCCCTATGCTGTTGATGAATTTGCCACCATGCCCATCTCAGAAGAGCTATCAATTTATGTCAGTCATAAACGTCTGTCGTCTTGCCTTTGTATTGTCATTATCTAGTGAGCAGGCTGATGGGATTATTAATGATGTAGTTATATATAGATCAAACCTAGGTATGAAGCTGTGTAGGTCTAAGCATATGCTTGGATTTAGTAGACTACTAGTTTCTTCTCCTTTGGTCAGATTTATAGTATCTACTGCTGTTAACTTAAACTGGTTTGTTTGTGTTTTGGTTCATACATGTTTTGTGTAGTGGGATTCTTCTGCTTTATTCTACTTTAACTTTTGGCATCTTAGCTTCTGTTTTTCTCATACTTCATAGCAATTCTTTGCACTTACGTGTTAGTTGTATTATATGTCTTCAGTATTCTATTCCAAAAGGAAGAGTTTATATAATCTTTTTGCACTCTTGCAGCTAGAGAAAACAGATAAATGGTTAAATTTCTGAAATATCACAATGGTTGACTATAATGGCAGAAGAATCTAGAAGGAAGCTATTTCAAGGGCATGAAGGTTGCAAATTTATGTTTATGTTTACATAAAGTTGTTGAGCTCTCTTTTTCTCCTGAATTTTATGCCAGAGAGTTGTAGAATGGCTGAGTGTGTAGGAAGTCACATTTAATTTATTATAGTCTGTAAAGCTTTGGTTTTTCTTTAAGGTAAGCCAGACATACAAGATTAAATGCTCCTCCTAATCCTTACCTTCCCCCTCTCCCCAAGCCTCTAGTTCTGTTGCAGGGGCTGTTGGCATGACCACCTCTGGGGAGAGTGAATCGGATGATTCTGAGATGGGACGATTACAAGGTAAAGACAGTCATTGAGTTTGCAAGAAATGATTATCATGGGCTGCAGATAGTTGTGTTCTTGACTTGACCTCAGTTCATATATATTCACTTGAATATTGTCTAGCAATTCTAGGTGTACCTCTGGGAAATTTTTTTTTCTTTATGACACCTTGATGATTTTGTTTCAGAGATGACCTGTTTGCGTCTTCATTTTTACTGTTTAACCAAGCAAAGCCTCATATTTTTTCAAAATTTTCTTCACATGATTACATGTGTAATTGGCTTTAGTAATAAATTACGAAGCACCTCAATATGTTGTTGGTCTCTGTATCTAAAAACATAAATAAAATCTAATAGCATGATTTTTTTCCCCCAAGCCTCATGTTCTTTTGTAAATACTAGTTGGTTTTCTTTTTTCCTTAATGTAGTCAGAGCCTTTAAAAAACAATCTTATATTACATATACTCCATGTATGAATATGTGAGTCTGTACTTAAATCTCAGATGATGGATTTTTAGTAGATTCCCTGTGTAAGACTTACAAGAGACATTATGTGAAAGTTTCACATTCATCTATAGTTCCTGAGAGAAATAACAAGTTTTGGAAATCTCTGCCATGCTACTTAATGAAAACCACTTTTCTTTGGAACTGGTAAAATGGTTTATGATTTTTCGTGTTTCTAAACGTTTGCCAAAATTTCTTCGAGAAGTCATGTTAAGAGGAAAATGAAGCAAGGGTTCTTAATATATGACTTATCTAAATTAGCTATTTATGGTTTTTGTACATAGTTCTGATCAGTATACATTTTAAGTTCTCCCAAAAATGTCATCATATTTGAAAACAATCATGGTAGTGTTTTAATATATGGTAACTAAATTAAATTGTACGTATGGGGTTTTAGAAAGTTAATGTTGTTTCCCTTAAAATTTCAAGTGGAAAGTAACATTGTATTAACTCAGTTGTGTGAAATGAATCAGTTCCTTGGCATTTTTTGGTAAGATCAGTTGCTTTAAGTCGGCTCAACTACTCTTCCTGCCCTTCTTTTTTCTTTAGCTCTGCTAGAGGCCAGGGGTCTTCCTCCTCACCTGTTTGGTCCTCTTGGTCCTCGGATGTCCCAGCTTTTCCATAGAACAATTGGAAGCGGAGCTAGTAAGTAAATGCTTGATAATTTCTCCTCCCTTAAAGTCTCTGAATAAGTAGTTAAATGTTGTTTTTACTGCTTACTTGTTGGTGTAATACAGCATCTTTAAGATTTCTTTCTATACGTTTATTTTTGACTACTTAACTGAACTTATAAAAAGGATGCACACTTTATAGTAAAACTTTAACTGTAGAAAAGAATCAGACAATTTTATCATCTGATTACCTTTTTTTTATCTGAAACTTTTTATGGTATCACAAAATTTATTCCATAAGAAAGTGAATCTGATAGGAATGATTTTTCAGCAGCATTACTTCTCACAAAGACTATCAGATTAATTATAACCCAGATCTTACATATATGGTTGACATACAGTGACTATTACATAGTCTTGATTTATAACTAAATACTGTCCTGAAGTTAAAAGTCCAGTTAAAGTCTTCCTTGATTTACATTTAATTATTTTTTTATAACTTTGTAGTCAGCTTGGTAACCAGTTGATAAATACCACCATCAAGTAATTGGTATTAGTGTGTGAGCATATGTGTAACATGCTGGATGTGTGTGTTATGTATGGGTGGGTGAAAATACTAGGACAAGTTTGTGGAGGTTAGAGGGCTACTTTGTAGTTGGTCCTCTCTCACTTTAAATAGGCTCCAAGGATGGAACTCAGGTTACCAGACTTGTAGAGTAAGCATCTTTATTTTTTTAAGCTATCTCTGGGTCCTTATTTTATTTTGTAGTTAAAACATTGTACTATAAGCTCTGTGTGATAGCACACGTCACCTTTGATCCCAGCACTTGGGAGATGGAGACAGGGTACAAAGCAAGCTCCAAGACAGCCAATGCTATTGAGAAACCTGTCTCAAAAACAAAACACACACACCACACACACACACACACACACACACACACACACACACACACACACCCCCCGAACCCCACATTGCATTATGTATAATTTCTATACCTGAAGCTTTCCTCTCCTGTGTTTACCCACCACCAAACAAACACAGCAATCCATTTCTGGCTTACTAACAAGAAAACTTAAAAAGCAGTTGTGTGTTTTTGTTTCCCTACATATCAAACCCTTCCACAAAATTGCCTTGTGAGAGTTCTGTGAGCACCCAGGCTTCATTACAACTCTGGGTCCTTGGGCCTCCCGAGTACTGGTGGATACTACTGCACCTGTCTTTTTGAGAACTCTTAAATATTTATGTACTACTATTTACTAGTAGTAAATTATTATATAATAATTAATTAAATTATTATACTGATCAAAACATTTAATCATGGTTTACTGCATGAAGCTGCTTTGGACATAAGTAATACAATATATGTTAAAGATGCACATGGTATTTTCAGTATTGTTGAAAAAAAAAACAAGAGTAAGAATGTAGGCCAGTTGGGAAGGGATCGAGGTAGGCTGGTTCGAAGATTTCATCAGAGTATAAATGTAGGTAGAGCTAGCTGGTGTGGCGGCACACAGCCCTCAGTCCTAGGATCTGGCAGGCAGGGGCAGGTAGGTCTCTATGAATTGGAAACCAGCCTGGTCTGCCAAGTGTGTCCAGGACAGCCAGAGCTGCACAGAGAAACTCTGTTTAAAAAAAAAAAAAAATTAGATCTGAAGGAAAGAATGTATGCTGCATGAGAATGGGGTTTGAGTTTGCATGTTTGTAAAACAGACCGGCAACAGGGAAATGTGGAGGTGCACACATCTACCCAGTCATGAAGTGCTCTGATATGCTATTCACAAGGTTGAGTAATTAGAAAACATTTTATAGTTTGCAGATGGGGAATGGCATGATGAGAACAAAAATTAAATACAGCCCAGGCCATAGTTGAGAGCTTAACAGTCCTCAGCAAGCACTGCTTCATTTATATCCTTAGTCATTCCCTTCACACTGAATGCCAGTAGGCATCTGCATATATTTTAACTTCTAGCTAAAAATAAGCTCAGTTAAAAAGTTGAAGATGCTAGTGAGACTATGTTTATCAAATATTGCTGTTTTCATAAATTAAGAACAATTTGTTTTATTTTAATATGGATTCATACATTGTAGTCAGCTAATCTGTTTTTTTTTTTTTTTTTTAATAATCAAACTTTATTTTGTCATTTCATTAAATTGAAGATGGGTAAGAAAATTTGTGTCAGGGCCTTGTAAATTGACATTGAAATCTCCTATAGCTGGGTGTGATGCTGCACACCTTAACCGATTTTTATTATTTATGAGTGTTTTGCTTACATGTATGCACCATTTGCGTATCTGGTGCTCAACAAGGCCAGAAGAGGACATCAGATCTTTTGGAACTGGAGTTAAAAATGATTGTGAACCACCATGAGAGGGTGTTAGGAATTGAACCTGGCTCCTCTGGAACATAAAAGCCAGTGCTGTTAAACATTGAGTGAATTCTAGCCCATATACATAAATATATAATATATATCTATATTTACATAAAATATAAATATATGATTTATTTATGGTATGTTTTCTGTATATTTGCCTGTCCTTGTGAATGTGTATGCATATGCTTGTGTGTTGTATGTGTGGGATGGGGCTCAGAGTCCAGTAAAGGGAGATGGATCCTATAGACCTGGTATTACAGGCAATTGTGAGCTGCCTGGTGTGGATGCCACAAACTGAACTTGGGTTCTCTGAAAGATAAATGATAGCTCTTCACTGCTGATCCATCTTTCTAGTCCTTAGCCTACTTCTTAACCCATATTCTTCCTGGTGTTGGTTTGAACTAAATTGTAGACATAACATAATTTAAACTCAGCTGGGCACTGTGCCTTTATTCCCAGCATTCAGGGAGGCAAAGGCAGGTGGATCTCTGAGTTTGAGGCCAGCCTGGCCTATAAAGCGAGTCTAGGACAGCCAAGGCTTTGTTTTGTTGTCTCAAAAACAAAACAAACAAAAAATATCCAAAACCTTTATATAGGTCGTTATTAACACAAATATGTAATTATCATGTGTATTTCTTAATAGTTTCTAGCATTAAATTTCTGTTGCTTAAAATATTCTGTGTTTCTTATTAATTGCTACCTCTAGCAACTGTTTTAAATTTGACTTTGTTTTAAATTTTGGTATGTATGTGTGCATGTATATGTGCCATGTGCATGCAGTGACTTCAGAAGGCTCAAGAAGGTGTCGTAACCAGTAGAGCTGTAGTTAGTCTCTGTGTGAGAACCCTGGGACTCCCTGAAGTCTGGACTGAAGATCAAGTGTTCTTAGCCTTGTTTCTCTAAACTGGGATTTGATACCTCCCTATCCCCCAATGAGAAATAATCCCGCAGAGTGCTAGGATTGTAGTGCTGGAGACATGTCCAGAGAGCCCTCGTCGTCTGTGACATAGTGGAAGGAGAGAACTGATTTCCATATGTATGACATGACATGCCTGTAATAAAACACACACAAAGAATTGTATAATTTCTGGTTGTCCCTTGACAAACTGTTAAAACTCAACTGTCAAAGTAATGACAATTACAAGATATAATTTTAGATCAAATTTTGGAAATAATTTACTGAAAATACATAGAAGATGACTTTCCCTTTTGTTTGATTACTTCGTAGGATTTTTCATATAGGGAAGCTGTTTTTTGATGTTATTTGCCTTGTTTTTAAAGTAGTAGTTTTAACATCCTCTTAAGTTACAAGATTATTTGGGGGGGGGGGGGCTGTGTGTAGTTGTTCCAGATATTTAGTGATTTTCATTGATCTTACATTGTTTCGTTTGATTTTTTTTTTTTTTTTTTTTTGAGGTTACTTTCTCTGTGTTGCCTTGTCTGTCCCGAACTCATTTTATAGACCAGGCTGGCCTTGAACTCATAGAAATCCAGCTGCCTCTGTCTGAGTGCTGGGATTACAGGCTTGGCCCACCGTGCCTGGTTCTTTGTTTTATTTATTTATTTTTTTAATACAGGGTCTTGGCTATGTAGACCAGGCTGTCCTGAGCATACAGAAACCCCAGGTGTTGAAATTAAAGGTGTGTGCATCCACAACCTGACTACCTTTTAATATTTAAATAAAATAAGTAATAGTCTTAATTGTTTGGCTTAGGTTAATTTGTAATTTATAGTCCAGACTGGCTGTGTATATGACTTTCTGAGCCTTTTTGATAGTTTCTTTGCTTTCTAATATGAGAAAATGAGCGAGCCAAATTCAGTGAAATTTTCCACTTTGGGGCTACCAGGTATTTCTACTTAATCATGTATAACAATAGTATAGTGTTTTCATATTTTTGGGCTTTTACAAAACTTAAGGTGAGAACTTTTAACTTGCAGCTTGATACTCATTTTGTATTTTTTTGTAATATTTTTTTCTATAAAAATTTAATTTCTCTTCCCGGGACAGTGCTTAGAGGCATTCAAAATGGTCCAGCATTTGACATACCGTTGTAGGCTCTCCTACAATACAGCCTCTAACAAAACTAGGCTGTCTCGAACCCCTGGTAACAGGATTGTTTACCTGTATACCAAAAAGTTTCGGAAAGCACCTAAATCTGCCTGTGGTGTGTGCCTGGGCAGACTTCGAGGGGTTCGAGCTGTGAGGCCTAAAGTCCTTATGAGACTGTAAAAGACAAAGAAGCACATCAGCAGGGCCTACAGTGATTCCAAGTGTGCCAAGTGTATGCGTGACAGGATCAAGTGGGCTTTCCCTATTGAGGAGCAGAAAATCGTTGTGAAAGTGTTGGCAAGCACAGAGTCAGAAAACAAAATAAAAATGCAGCTTTTTTAAGTAATAAAAGTCGAGACTTGAAAAAAAATTTCAAGTTGTGTGTTTTAATGGCTACTCTAGAGATTATTACACATCATCTTGATTTATTATATATAGCTTACCTTAATTTAATACTTTATCATATCCCAAACTGAAAAACTTGCATTGATTGAGTTCCTGATCTCCTCTGTTTTACTGTTGTGTTGAGACATTTGTTAGAATTTTGATAACACAATTATTGTTTTACATGCAACGTAAAAATGTTTATTTTTCTTTTGTACTTAATTTCTGCTTGCATGATTTACTTCCATCTGGAAGACCATATTGCATAGGGTCTTCTTAAGGGTGATCAATCATTTCTGTTTTTGTTTGAGAAATCCTTGTTGTTTTAAATTTCAAAGGCTATTTTCTCAGGTTTAACATTCTCAATAAGCATGTTGATTCTTTCTGATTGTCATAGTTTATCCTTTCTTTTGACTTTTTAGGAGTAAGGGTGTATGTGTTGTGGTGTGGCCTTGAATTAGAGGTCTGCCATCTTCTCTCTCCATAGTGCTTAAAGGTGTGTGCCATCATGCCCAGCATCAATTTTATTTTTCCAGAAGTTTTCTGCTGCAGTCTTTTGTTATCTACTTACTCTGAGTTAATTTGAAATACTGCATTTTCACTTCTAAGCAGTTCATTGATTATTGCAGATTTCTGTGTTTAAATTCTGCAGTACCCCCTCTTTTTTCTTTTGTTGATAGTGGTGAGTCAGTTGAGCCTTGTGCATTACACTGATGAGCCACATTGCCAATATGTTTTTTATTGTATTTGTCTCAGTGAATATCCTAAAATGTTGATTTTCCTTTTTTTTCTTCCTAATTCTTATTCCTGTATTCAAACTTTTTATCAGTTAAGTCTAATAATCGTTTTATTATGTGTTTCCAGCCTTTTATATAAAAGGCTTGACAGGGTAACTTCTGGTAGTCATCTTTCTTGTTTTTCTTCAGAAAAACATAAAATGTTAGAGTTCTGCAAACTATTGCCAAGGACCAACTCTAGCCCTGCTTGTTTTTATTTTGTTTTCTTTTCGAAGTTTGAATGGGAGGACAACTGTCAAGAATCGCTCTTCTCATAGGATTTACAGATTGATCTCAATTTGTAGGTTGTCAGACTTGAGCTATGACATCTCACTGGCTCCTCCTGCTTATTTTTTGTATCCTGAGAACGTCTTTTTACATTTTTAGGTGGAAGGAAATGAAGCATTATATTTTGATTTGAAAATTAAGTGAATATCAGATTTCAGTACCCATCAGCTTCAATAATCAGAGCCATGCTTATTATTGTACTGTTTGCTTTTGAACTTTAATACCACAGTCAGAGTTGGATAGCTAAAGTGGAGATCATGTGGCCTAAAAAGCCTAAAATAATTACTGTCTGGCTCTTAAAAGAAAATGTTGGCTTGCCAACTACTGGTCTTCAGTGTTGCTTTCTGGCCTTGGAGTTGAATGGCTTGGCCTTGTCCCATGCTGGTCACATGGTGTCTACCATTGAGCCCCTAATTTAACTGTTTTAAGAGTATGAAATGATTCTACATCCCAAACCTACTGACTTAGTAATTGGATTTCTTCATACAGCAGAGGTACTTTGGGATTTGGCCATTGTTTTACTCAAGTTCTCTTAAAGAGAACACACACACACACACACACACACACACACACACATTGTGTGTGTGTGTGTGCGCGCGCGTGCATATATATATATATATATATATAGAGAGAGAGAGAGAGAGAGAGAGAGAACTTCAGATAATTGCACTCTCATTTATACTTAAGGTTGTCAGCCTGTGTATTTATGAGACACTTTCTGCATGGTATATTTGCCAGCTCTTCTCTTTGTAGGTGATTTTTGTTTCTGAGACAGATTTGGTGTACAGTAGTTCCTCCTTTTAAAATAATTAGTAACTACTGATGATTCTTCTCATTAGTTACTGTCTTTTTAAAATTTATGTATTATTTAATCAGATGATACTCTTGATGTACTGATACTAATGTTTAGTTTAAAATTTAAAAGTTGTATTCTTCTGAACTTATCTGTGCATTGTGTTTTCAGATAGACTTTTAAATTACTGCAAGGTAGTAGGCCCAGAAGTTATGCAGTTGTTAGTTACAAGAGTAGAGAAAACAAGTCTTCAAAGTTCACACATGCCTTTTTGAGGTTTATGTCACTGAACCTTAATTATAATAGGAAACTTGCTTTTTTTTTTTTTTTTAAATTTGATACATGTTTAATTTATTTTCAGGTAGTTCTTTTTCCAGTTTTATATATTTCAAAACAAGTGAGTTCAGCAGCCCTGTATGCAAATAATAATTTGAGTAGGAAAGCATCCATGAAGAAACAAAACAGATTTGTAGAATTTAGTTGTTTGTTTCTTATGCTGGGTATTAAACCCTATTCTCAAATACTAGGCAAGCACTGTTTATACCTCCAGCATTGACTTTAGTTTTGAGTGCTTTCTTCACTGCAGTGACAGCTGAATCTCAGTATTTTCCAGTTATTTACATAATGGAATTGAGGTTTAAAAAAAGTAACCGCTCTAGTAGCCAGCGCCTGCTAATGTAATTACAGCTACAAAAGTTGTTTGTTTTGTACAGAATACCTCATATCTTTAGATGATGCTTTCTTTATTCTGCTTTTCTTAATTTTGCTTCCCCTTCTCTACTGCTTGCTTGTTTTCTGTTTAATCCTAGTGGATTTAAATAAACACAGCATTCCTTTGGCACCTGAGCACCATTGTTTAAGAAATTTTATTTGACTAAAATTGTACTCACTGCATTTATTTCTTGGAAAGTATAGATAAGGCAAAGCTAGCAGCTGTTTCTGTTTGTGGTGATTTGAATTTTGCTACTAAAAATGTATCAAACTTCTTTCAGTTAAAGGCAGAAACCAAGTAATTGTGATCGATCAATTGTGTTTAAGCTGAGTGGATGCAGTTAGTTATCTCCTGCTGTTAGAGTGGCATAGACCCCTCTTTGTTTTTCTTTTTTCCTTTTGATTTATAATCTTTGTCACCAGGAGTAGATATTTCTTTAACGTTTTCTGTATTATCTCTTTCATTTTTATATGATTGGACAGATACTTGTTTTGAGTACTACTGAGTCATTTCCCCAGCTCATTGATGTTTAATTTTAAAAAGGATTAACATTTTTTTTTTCATGTGTGTGTTTTTGCATGTGTGTATGCACACATGTATGGATACATGAGGAGGCCAGAAGAGATGTGAGGTTCTCTGAAGTTACAGTTATCCATGGTTGTGAGTTGTCTGGCATGACTGCTAGATATATAATTTGAGTCATCTTGAGTAAAAGTACTATTCTTAATTGCTGAGCCATGCCATGACTCTCAGTATTTAAAAGTAATCCTTCTTTCCCCTTGAAGGTTCTAAGGCCCAGCAGCTTCTTCAAGGACTACAAGCAAGTGATGAAAGTCAGCAGCTTCAGGCAGTCATTGAAATGTGTCAGCTGTTGGTCATGGGAAATGAGGAGACACTAGGAGGGTTTCCTGTGAAGAGTGTTGTTCCAGCTTTGGTAAGCATGCTGTTCTTCTGTTAGCTCACTTGCCTGTGTGCATGCTGGACAAATAAATACTGTTAATGAGCTGCATACATAGCTTGAGTTTGTGAATATTGTTCCACCAAATTTTTGATGAAGCTACTTACTTGATCTTCATTACTTAAATGTTTTAAGTTATTCAACCCATAAGTAATGCTTTGCTCCTTCATTTTTTAAAACGTATTATGCTTTTTGTTCAGTTTCCCAGTCTTGGGCCAGTAATAAGCTAGCTTACTTTGGGTTGTCTTTGTGGTTGAGAAAGTTTGTTACTTATGTGCAAGGGAAAAGTTGTCAAGCCAGGCAGTATACCGTTATGTTTATACAGATATTAGACTCATAGCATATTCTCTTCCTGGAAATTAAATAACTACTATGCCTTCTTATGTATCTAATGAACTGACAAAACAAGTTAGAAAAGTGCATGAGATTATCTCATTTGGTCACAGTCTCACATTATGGAAAGCTGGTATTTTGAGTTCTGAGTAAAGTCTTGTCTGATACAAAGCGCTTCACACAGCCATCACTTAGCAATTCTACTCTTTTGAATGGCTTGATTTTTGGACACTGTTAAGGATTGATAAAGCAGTTTCTTGCCTTTATACTATCAAAACTGTTGGGAAGAGTCTTGAGGAGGGATCTTTGACTATCTTGGCCTGCAGGCCACATTTTACTATATGTTTGTTAAACAGTTACAAGGATATTCAGACGGGCACAGAATTTAAACTGTGGTTTTCAGTTCGTGTCAATATTAATTCATGAAATGTCAGTCATTGCCGCTTCTGATGATCTGTCAATTGGCCAGTCCTCAGTGACATGTTAATAGGCTTCTGAATAATGTTAGAACTACTGAAATTATTGGTTGTAAGCAATAGAAATGAAGATTTTTAACTTGGGTCATGAAATTGTGGTGCCTTCTAGCAACATTGCCATAGCATGTAACGAATGGTATCATAAGTATAATAATTTCTGGTGTATGTCTTGCTGTTAATCTTCTGTGGTGCCAGGGACAATTTTTTTATTATTTCAGTGAAGCGCAAAAAAATTTTTTTTCAGAACTTTCTTAATACTTTGTTATGTTTTTATAGATAACATTGCTACAGATGGAACATAACTTTGACATTGTAAGTACATCATGTATGTTCTAAAGACAGGTTAAATTTTAATTTGAGTATTTATTGAATGCAAACTTATCTTGTCTCTTAGATGAATCATGCTTGCCGAGCCTTAACATATATGATGGAAGCACTCCCTCGGTCATCTGCTGTTGTGGTAGACGCCATTCCTGTCTTCTTAGAAAAGGTAGTCATGGTTTTGCCCAACCTGTTCATAAGTGCACATGAAGAGTCAAGTTTTGAATTCTTGAATTCATTTATTTCTATGATGTAATTAAAGTATGTGTCTTTAACCAGTATTCCAAAAAATATATATATTTAACAGAACGGTAGTTTTAAGTTGAAACTAATAAAAAATAAGCCAAATTTTATGATTTTTAATGATAGTATTTAGCATATTAACATCAGAGAACAGCTTGAATTATTGTATTAAAATAATATATTGGGGCCAGTGAGATACCTTAGTGAGTAATGGTACTTACAGGGTAAACCTGATGACCATATATATGATCTCTGGAACTCACATAAAAAAGACAGGTGCAGTGGCATTTATCTGTAGTTTCAGCACCTGTAAGAGGGAAAGGGAGATGAGACATTTGAGACCTGCTTGAAGAAAGTGGAAGATGAAAACTTAGTCCTTAAAATAGTTCGCTGACTTTACATGTGTGTTACAGTATGTGTGTATTCAAGAGTATAAATACACAACCACAATCAGTACAAATAAGAGTTAAAAGAACAACAGGACAGTAGAATGAAAAGTTATTTATGTCAATAGCTGAGAAGGTTAAAAAAAAAAAAAAAAAAAAAAGATCTTGCTCATGTTCACAATTGACCAGTGGAGAAAGGGAAAATTTTGTACCATTAGTGTCTTAGGTTGTTGTGCATATTCTGTAATATTTTTTTAATGCACAATAAAACTTTGTTCATCTGATAAAATATAATTATTTTGATGAAGTATACCTTAAAGTTTTAAACCTAGTTAAAAAAATGTTACATGAATCAACTCCTTTTTTTTTTTTTTTTTTTTAAGTTTTGTCATTCATGGCACTATATCTTTCAGTATCCTGACACCAAATAAGTTGTTGGGAGAAAATTGTCAGCTATGCTTTATAACTTTTACTAAAGTGTGACTTGTTTTTTATTTTGGTTACATTTTGAAGGTAGTGTAAGTGGCTTTAAGTAGAGGAAGTAAAGTACAGTGTTCATGTAGATGAAGTATGCTAAGTAAAAAAAAAAGTAACCTTTTATATCCACTTTAATTTTCTAGCTACAAGTTATTCAGTGTATTGATGTGGCAGAGCAGGCCTTGACTGCCTTGGAGATGTTGTCACGGCGACACAGTAAAGCCATTTTACAAGCAGTAAGTGTTGTGGCTGAAGGACTTTATGTCCTTTGCTGTTGTATCTCAGAACTGCATTGTGCTAATTCCTTGACTGTAGCTCTGTAAGATGCACATTATCTTAAAGTAATGTGCTAGACATTTTAGTAGTTCTTAAGATTTGAGTAGTTTTTTTGGTATAGGGTATTTTTCTCTCAATTTAACAGTTTTTTATGTTTTAGGGTGGTTTGGCAGACTGCTTGCTGTATCTAGAATTCTTCAGCATAAATGCCCAAAGAAATGCACTAGCAATTGCAGCCAATTGCTGCCAGAGTATCACACCAGATGAGTTTCATTTTGTGGCAGATTCCCTACCATTGCTTACCCAAAGGCTAACTCATCAGGTAAAATATGAAAATCTGCTTATGTCATGAAAGTTTTATTACTATTACTTCATATTCTATCTGAATTCTTCTAGTTGAATTCAAAGTGTTTTGATCCATGTGTTTTTTTTTTTTTTAATGTATTGTCAAGTTACATATAATGAGGCTATTTCTTTTTAAGTAAGATTTTGGCAGACTTACCCAAATGAATTTTGATTTATACATTGGGTATCTTTCTTTTGATATTAATTGATGACATTATTTTGCAACAACTGAGAGTGTCCTTTCTATGTGAGGTCAGAATTTATCTTCACAAAGATTTCACTAACAGAGGAAACAGAGGGCTTGGGCAAAGACTGGAACAGGGAGACAGATTGTCCAGAAATAGAAATGAGAAGTATAGATTCCACTTGTTGGGGTTGGAGGAGAGCCAGTAGGTATATAAAACATCAGTGATGTAGTTTGAACAGCATAGTTCATATTATACTTGAATGGAGGAGATTGAGTGCTACGTCTGGACGTCAGAGAGATATGGGTTTTCTTGTATTTTACCAGTCCTGTAATTACTAGGGATACCTTTTAAGGAGTCAACTTTAAATTTGCTTTTTAAACCTTGTGAAAATTAGATGTACAGAATATGTTTAAGGGATTTTTACAAGGTAATACACTCACATTTGTCTCCTATACTTCTATAATGATAAAGGTAGAGTATAAATATTTTTCTTTTTTTTTTTTTAAGTTAGTCTAGGCTGGCTTTGAACTTCAATCCTTTCAACACAAGCCTGCATCATCCATGCCTAGACAATTTGTTTCTTATTTATTCATTTATTTTTGAAACATGGTCATACAACATAGCCCCAGCTAGCCTGGAACTCAACAGAGCTCAGTTGGCCTTTGTTTCCACAAGTGCTATGATTAAAGGTATGCACTACCATGACTGTCTTAATTTGTTTATTCTTAAAAGCATAGTTCAAACTGATATAATTTAAAATATGTTCTGAAATTCATTGTTATAATCAGAACCACATAGCATCCTTACTTCAGAAATGAGAACTAAGAATCAGAAATTTTAAATCAGTTGACCATTACTGTTTTCTTTTTAGGCAGCCTAGTAGCAGCAAAGATGTGGACTTTTCCAACTTGATTCCTATTTTTACAGAAGGGAGTGTAGTTGCTCTACTAATGAAGTAAACAAAATGTTGGTTTTGCTTACCAGGATTTTTAGACATGTTTTCCAGGGAGCAAATCTTTCTTGGATTGTTTCTATAGTGATATAGCCAAAAGTTATCAATAAGGTCATTCCTTAGTGCTTTGGAGATTTGATCTGCTGATGTTAACAAATTCCTGAATCTTCAAGTCCCCATGCAAGTGTTTGCACATAGTTGTTCTTTAATATAACCAACTGCTCTTCACCTGGGTTTCCCTTTTCAGAGTTCACATCTACAATTGAGGTTACTTAGATTTTGGGGCAGAGCTAAGTGACTGATGGTGCTAACATTTCATATTAATGAATGTTTTTATATTCCTTTGTGAAAAATAGGACAAAAAGTCAGTAGAAAGCACTTGCCTTTGTTTTGCACGTTTAGTGGACAACTTTCAACATGAGGAGGTCAGTGTTTCTCTTTGGTAAAATATTTTAAAAATTGTTGAGTTGCTTAAACCACAGCATAATAATTTGTTTTCTTGTGTTCATGAAGAATTTACTGCAGCAGGTTGCTTCCAAAGATTTACTTACAAATGTTCAACAACTGTTGGTAGTGACTCCACCAATATTGAGTTCTGGGATGTTCATAATGGTGGTCCGCATGTTTTCTCTGATGTGTTCTAACTGCCCAACATTAGCTGTTCAACTTATGAAACAAAGTAAGTGCTGATTTATTATTGTGTTTTAAGGCAGGAAAATTAGCTTGTTCTTCACTAATAAGTCAACCTAAGTCACAAAAGTAAAAGAAATGATGAATCTCATTGAATATTAAAGAAGAAAAATGTTGGGGTAAGAATGTAGGTCTGGTAGATGGTTACCTGAATATATGAAGTCCAGGTGTTTGATATCCAGCAGTGCTGTAAGATAGTCTTGGTTTTTTGAGACAGTATCATTATATGTATTGTTATGTAGTTCAGACTGACCTTACACAGAGTTTCTGTGTATCCAAGGCTGTCCTGGACTTGCTTTGCAGACCAGACTGGTCTTGAACTCATAGAGATCTGCCGGCCTCTGCCTCCCCAAGTGCTGGAATTACAGGTGTGTGCTACCACTCCTGACTGATAATGTAATTTTAATGTTATGCATTTCTAAAACTCACCTTTGGTGGTTTTGGGACTAATGATCTTTGAATCACGATCTTTGAATCACCACACTATAGTCATTAATGATTTCTTGTTAGTTGTCTAAGTTGTTTGTAATTACTGTTAAGGTAACTAATTCTCTCAGCCCAGGTTTGAGTTTTCAAGTAAATTATCTTTGTACAGAATGCTTTCTTCTCTCAGAAAACTGGACCTTATTTTTACTGATGAATATCTCTAATTTTTACTAGTTCTACAAATTTTGTGTTTCTTAACCCATGACAAATTGCTGTTGGTTATGCTCTTAGGCCTTGTCTCATAAATGTTAGTATGGTTTTAGAAGACATCTGTGTTTTGATTCTTTCTTTTAGAGTTAATAATTGTTGGAGCACCTATAATTATGGTTAATAATTTTATACTCATAATTCTGAAACTTGAAAGTGGGATCTTGAGAGTCAGTTTTGCCATTTACTGACAACATGATTTTTGGCCCCACTGTTTTAGACAGCATATTTTGTTTTGGAAAAACATAGTTTCACTTTCCACTGCATTTCCTGTGAACACAAATACATTGACAAAGACCTTGGCACAAAGATAGTGTGATTGGGGTGAATAATTGGGCAGATTATTGTTCCCATGTGGTGAGCATCATGCTCCCTACCTCAGTAAAACTGAGAAATGTTCAACCCCCTTCTTAAGTGGTTTTGTTACTTTACTCATTCTGAGGTTCTTAGTACCTCTTTAAAGCTTTATTAACCTAGATTTTCCTGGAATTACAGTTGTTTTTTATTTTATTTTATTTTACTTTATTTTGTCCAGCTACAAATACCAGTTTCAGAAGTCACTCCTTTGAACACACTGGATTTTTTCCTTTAATGTCATGCTTTTAACCTCTTTTGACTACTCCACAAACTTTACCACAGTATTATCACGTGGAAGCTACTTAGTCACATTTCCATTCTACAGTGATATAAATTAAACATGAGCCTTTGTTTTGTTTTGTTTTTGTATTTTAACTACTTTCCTGATTACTTTTTTATAAAAAAGTAAACTGTACAACACAACTTCAAGGCCACTTCTTTTTTATGGTACTGCAGAATGAAGCTAAAGCCATACACATACAAATGATTTGTATTTCCTATTTCCATATTCAGGTGCTCTATTTGTAAGTTTAATTTTTGCCCTAGAGAATGATTGCCTTGTAAATTACACCTAGTTTAATTGGCTTCTGTTTTGTTGTTGCTGGCTTTACAGACATTGCAGAAACACTTCATTTTCTTTTATGTGGTGCCTCCAATGGAAGTTGTCAAGAGCAGATTGATCTTGTTCCACGAAGTCCTCAAGAGCTGTATGAACTGACATCTCTGATTTGGTAAAAATGGGTTGATTTTTCCTTGATACTCTTAATAGCTACAGATGGTGAAGAAAGTTACATACTAAAATAATTTCACTTTTTTTACTTTCAGTGAACTTATGCCATGTTTACCAAAAGAAGGCATTTTTGCAGTTGATACCATGTTGAAGAAGGGAAATGCGCAGAACACAGATGGTGCAATATGGCAGTGGCGGGATGACCGAGGCCTCTGGCATCCCTATAACAGGATTGACAGCCGGATCATTGAGGTAGTAGTTTCATTGTACCGTTTAAATATGTCTTTCTGAGGAGGGTGGGTATAGGGATGGACTGGGGAGGTGGTTGTGTGTGCTTAAGTGTGCTCAGTTTTGAATTAACTCAAGATTCTCTCATTTTGTCTCCTGAGAAAGAAGGTCCTCATTCTGTTGAGGTCAGAAAACATGATCCTCTAGTCCTGCTTCTGCTGCTAACTACCTGCTTGGCTTGGAGCAAGTAATCTCAGTTCTTTGTCCCATAGTTTTGTTTCCAAAAGGAAACACTGGAGAGTTAGACTATGTTGCAAAGCAGGTCTACTATTTCAACCCAGAAGAAATCTCCCAGTGTGTGCTTTTTATACTTAATCAGGAAAAAAGTGAAAACAAATAACTGCTTTTGGGTGAATATGAAAATTCTGATAAGATTAATATATAATTCTATACTGGTGCAACAGATTTTAATGACAAATAAAGGCAATGTTTAAAATTATGGAACTTTTGGTAACTTGATATAAGAGAGAAAAAAATTAATATTAAAGTGCAGGAATATATCAAAATGTTAATGATGACAGTTTATGTGTGATTTCTGTTCATCTGATTTTGTTTGTATTCACTGGAATAATAAAATTTCTCAGATGACAAAAAGACTTGGTGCTAGAAAAGTGTTGAAGTACTTGAGAGACTGTCCATTTCTGCTAGCATTATCAGTAGTACACAAAATTTTTCTAAATTTAATATAATTCTTGAATTGCAACCATCTTTACACTTCTTGTCGAGCTATATTTTAAAGATTTGTTCCAGTATCTAAAAGTTTTTGCTAAACTCTTCATCATTTTAGTTACAAAGTCAGGAGTTCTTATAAAGGAACCCAGAATTCAGAACCAGCTTGCTTTTATGAGAGTTAATTGTTGATTGGTCTTTTGTGCCACAACTGCTAGTGTTCTTAACTTTCTAATCTTAAGTGTTTTTCTTTTTAGCATTCTTCTGATAATAGTTACATCTTCACTATTAGCTTACTCTCAATTTCCAGATAGTTATTCTGTGTAGGAATCTCAGCTTAGATTGACTATGTATAGAGTCTTTGGTTTGTTTTTAAAGTGATAGGTTATTGCTATGTAGCCTTAGCTGTGTTTGAACCTGGAAACCTCCTGACTTAATCTCCCGAGTGCTGGCCTTCCAGGTGTTCAACCAGCATATGTAGTATATTTTGTAATTTCTCTATGGTGTCTGAATTTAAATAGTTTGTTTTTGTTAACATTTCTTTTGTGATTATTTATCTAAGACCTTAGTTTTAGTTGTGTTCTTTACAGTTTCTCTTGTGTGGCCATGGCTGTCCTGGAACTCACTCTATAGACCAGGCTGTCCTCAAGCTCACGGAGATCTGCCTGCCTCTGCCTCCCTGAGTGCTGGAATTACAGGCATGTGTCACCGTGCCCAGCTAACTGGACTTTTGTTTTAGAGTACTCTGATATTAGAGCCCACAGTTTGTTTGAATTTTAAATGATTTGTTAGAGTTTTGTCATCCACTGATTTAAAATTTCAACATTATGTCAGTTTGCCAGCCACATAAAATAAATAAGTAAAGTAGCATGTGTGGAGGGTCCCTGCTATGCTTAAGGTAATGAATTTCTACATGTTTATATTCAAGGTTTCTCTCTCTTTGCTCTCAGGCAGCCCATCAGGTCGGTGAGGATGAGATAAGCTTGTCCACTCTGGGACGAGTTTATACTATTGATTTTAATTCTATGCAGCAAATCAATGAGGACACGGGAACAGCACGTGCCATTCAGAGAAAACCCAACCCCTTAGCCAATACTAACACTAGTAAGTATCCTTTGACTCTGCCATGACCCACTTAATTTATCTATCTATCTATCTATCTTATCTATCTATCTATCTATCTATCTATCTATCCATCCATTTATTTATTCATTCATTTGTTTGTTTATTTATTTACTTATTCCTTCCCTCCCTCCCTCCCTCACTTGTGAGACAGTGTTTCTCTCTGTAGCCTTGGCTGCTTTGGATTGCTTTGTAGACCAGGCTGGCCTCAAACTCATGGAGATCCGCCTGCCTGAGCCCTGGGATTACAGGCATGTCCCACCATGTCCAGCCCTTCTGGTCTTTAGGCTTGCTGTCAAGCACCTTCACTTATTTAGGCCTCTTGCTGAACCTCTAATTTTGTTGTTGTTATTTACATAGTAACAGTTTCATTGAGTATAATTAGGGAAGGGTAGAATAGTTGAATAATGGTGATTTATTTTACTAAAACCTGTACCTCAATTATTAAGAATAAGCTACTATTCATATGTAATGTCTTTTCCCACAAAAGTTTTTTCTTTAAATGATGTCTTGGGATGCTTGTTAGAACTAATGCAGATGTTCATGTGATCCTGCCTCACGACACCCCGCCAGAAAAGAACTAGGTAGCAAATGTTTAAGGTGTCTTAGGTCATACAGCCTTTGTACTACTTACAGTGTTATAGTCTCAAAACATTCATATTATATAGCATTGACAAATGTATGTCACAAAACAAAGCAACAGGCATGTTATATAATCAATAGTTCACCAAACCCTTGTTCATAGTCCTCATCAGTTATATTCTTCTTACATATTCTTTATGAACAAAATAACAAAATGACCTTCTTTATGCAGTTGTTTTTGGGTACCTTTTATCTAGTACATTTCTTGTATTTTGCTCATTTTTTTTAAACCTGTGTTTTTCGTAGGTTAGTATTGATATTTTCCTAGTGTTTCTTAGACTGCTTTAAGATGAAGTATACAGTTAATACAGTACTTTCATCTGGTTAGAATGGTTAGTAATCTCAATGTTATTTCTTGCGATCCTGTTAATCTAAATAAGTTAACGATGGTCCTGTAATGCAAACAAATTTTTTTTTGCATTTCAAATAGTTCCTCGATTGATTTTTTTTTTTTTTTTTTTAACTGTACTGCTATGGTGGTCACTTCAGGACTGTACATCTTTTTAAATAACAGGTGGATATTCAGAGTTAAAGAAGGATGATGCCCGAGCACAGCTAATGAAAGAAGATCCGGAACTGGCTAAGTCTTTCATTAAGACCTTATTTGGTGTTCTCTATGAAGTGTATAGCTCCTCAGCCGGACCTGCGGTCAGACATAAGTGCCTTAGAGCAATTCTTAGGATAATTTATTTTGCTGATGCTGAACTTCTGAAAGATGTTCTGAAAAATCATGCTGTTTCAAGGTGTGTTCATCAAAATAACAAAAATATTTTGGAAATTGATATCTGAAGTAATTTTATAAATTTCTAAATCTTAGTAAAGAAAAAAATGAAGTAAAGTTTGGAATGTTTTGAATCATTTTCAATTTCTATTTTAATATAATTTTAATTAAAATCAAACTTAATTTAATAAAAATTATGATTGATTTGTTGGAATTGTTCTTAAATTTCAAATAGTATGGCCAAAAGTAACCACCAACTTCAGTGTTAAACACAAATGCTTTCTTTTTTAGTCACATTGCTTCTATGCTGTCAAGTCAAGACCTGAAGATAGTAGTTGGAGCACTTCAGATGGCAGAAATCTTAATGCAAAAGTTACCTGATATTTTTAGTGTTTACTTCAGGAGAGAAGGTAATGCCATTCATTAACTGATACTCAGTTAATGATTAGTAGTTTATCTAGATGGAACTTCAAGTGATGCCTTCAGTGTCTACAAGGAAAGTATTATCTGCGTACATGAGAGATTATATATTTAAGAGCTCAAGCATATATAGAGTGTTTTATATGTAGTATGTATTTTGTGGAAGTACAGGGATGTTGAGATTCACTGTTACTGTTTGTTGTTAGTCATTTTCAGTAAATTTTCTTTTTGTATGCTCCCAAATTTGGCAGCAGTCATAGACTTCAATCCATAACAATTGCTTGAATAAGTTTACAGTGTATCATAGCAGTAGATCAGAACAGTTCTAATGTTTGAGGATTTATTTTACCATTTATTGTGTTGAAAGTGTATGTGACTGGTACAGTAAGAGGACATGAAATCCTCTGGTATTGAGTTTACAGATAGTTGTGGGCTTTCATGTGGATACTAGAAACTGTACTCAGGTCCTCTGGAAGAGCAGCAAGTGCTCTTAACCACAGAGACATCTCTCCAGCCCTTGATTACTTTTTTTTCCCTTTTATTGAAAATTGATTTATTTTTCCTCACATAATATATCCTGATTATGGTTCCTCTCCAAGTTCCTGCCTGATTCCCTTCTCATCTGGATCTACCCCTTTTCTGCCTCTCATTAGAAAACAAACAGGCTTCTCAGGGATAATAAGCAAATAAAATATAATGAGATAAAACAAACACATCAGAAGAGGACAAAACAGAAGGAAAGAGACCAACAAAAGGCACAGGAGCCGGGCGGGCGTTGATGGTGCATGCCTTTAATCCCAGCACTTGGGAGTCAGAGGTGGCAGGTCTTCGTGTGTTCGAGGCCAGCCCCGTCTACAGAGCGAGTTCTAGGACAGCTAGGACTATTACACAGAGAAACCCTGTTGCAGAAACAAAGGGGGGAGGGGGAGGAAGAGGCACAAGAACTAGGTATTCAGAGACTTGCTCATTCATACACTTAGGAGTTCCATAAAAACACTGAAATGAAAGCCATAATTATCTGCAAAGGACCTGTAGGGTAAAAAGAGAAAAGTAAAGTACATAAACAAAACAAAAACAAATAAAGAGACTTAAGTGGGATGGAGAAAGAAAATGAAAGATACCTGATAGTCAAAGAACCTCCAAAGATGTTGCTGTGTTCTTCCTCTGTTGGCATATACTTCTGGACATTCAGCCTGCTCTTAGGAGTAGTAGTTTTCTCAGGGAGACTCCCTTGGAGAATACTAAATTTTCATTTACAAGTGCTTATCAATTGGATATAGGGACAGGGCCATGTGAATACTTTTTTCACCTCTAGGACTCCTTCTGGCGCAGACCCAATCAGGCTTATACCTGCAGTCTGTTGACTTCCGATCTTTTTTATTTAGTCGGCTTTGTTTCCCTTGTGTCTTGCATCCTTTCTGGCTCTTAAATTTTTTCCACCCCCTCTTCCACTTGGTTCCCGGAGCCCTTATCAGGGAGGGGTTTGATGGAGTCATCCCATTCAGGCTGAGTGTTCCAAGGTCTCTCAATCTCTCTATAATGTCTGGCTGTGGGTTGCTATATTTATTCCTAACTGCTATAGGAGGAAGGCTTGTTTCCTTCCTTCCTTCCTTCCTTCCTTCCTTCCTTCCTTCCTTCCTTCCTTCCT